ACACTCACACACTCACACACTCACACACTCACACACTCACACACTCACACACTCACACACTCACACACTCACACACTCACACACTCACACTCACTCACTCACTCACTCACTCACTCACTCTCACACACAGAGAGAGAGAGAGAGTGGACCCCCGGTATTCGATATTAATCCGTTCCTGAGAGCTCATCGAATACCGATAATATCGAAAACCGAATCAATTTTCCTCATAAGAAATAATGGAAATCAAATTAATCCGTGCAAGACACCCAAAAGTATGAAAAAAAAACTTTTACTACATGAAATATTAAGTTTAATGCAATAGAATAATTACAATAACAATAAAATAATTGACACTTACCTTTAATGAAGATCTGGTGATGATTGATGGGATGGGAGGAGGGGAGAGGTGTTAGTGTTTAGAAGGGGAATCCCCTTCCATTAGGACTTGAGGTAGCAAGTTCTTTTCTGGGGTTACTTCCCTTCTTCTTTTAATGCCACTAGGACCAGCTTGAGTCACTGGACCTCTGTCGCACAACAAATCTATCCATAGAGCTCTGTACCTCCCGTTCCTTTACGATTTGTCTAAAATGGGCCACAACATTGTCATTGTAATAGTCACCAGCACGGCTTGCAATAGCTGTGTTAGGGTGATTTTCATCCATAAAGGTTTGCACTTCAACCCACTGTGCACACATTTCCTTAATTTTTGAAGTAGGCACAATGGATTCCGCAACTGGCATAGGCTTCTCACGGTTAGCCCCAAACCCTTCAAAATCTTTCTTAATTTCCATACTAATTCTTGCCCTTTTTACCACAGGGTTGGCACTAGAAGCTTTCTTGGGGCCCTTGGTGACTTTGCAGAAATGAGCACCAGACAGTGATAATATGGATAATATGGAATGTACCGAATGTATCCTTAGATGCGCGCACACTGGCTGGCTTGTAAACACTGGCACACACGGGGCAGTTCAGGCCACACGTGGACAGGTCTCATACGAATCATATCGAATACCGGGTTTTCAATCGAATACCGAGGAAAATTTTTTGCGGTATAATGCATCGAATACCAGATTTATCGAATACCAATGCCATCGAATACCGGGGGTCCACTGTAATGTATATATGTAATATATACAGTGGACCCCCGGTTAACGATTTTAATCCATGCAAGAGGGGTAATTGTTATGCGAAATAATCGTTATGTGAATGAATTTTCCCCATAAGAAATAATGGAAATAAAATTAATTCGTGCAAGACACCCAAAAGTATGAAAAAAAAAATTTTACCACATGAAATATACATTTTCCCACACACAAAGAGAAGGATACATGCACAATAGTAGAGTAGTACATGCACAGTATATATTGTGCATGTACTAGTCTACTAAATGAAGAATAAATGACACTTACCTTTATTGAAGATGCAGCAATGACTGATGAGACACTGTGTCCTGGGAGTGCCTTTTCCTCCTGAGTACTGTAGGTCCTGTTTGGCATTTTCTTCCAGAACAGGCCTTATCACACTGTGTATGCCACTACGATTCTTAAATCTCTCAAACCAACCTTTGCTGGCTTTAAATTCACCAATATGAGCACTAGTTCCAGGCATTTTTCCCTGTTCACCTGGGTGTTAGTCGACTTGTGTGGGTTGCATCCTGGGAGACAAGATTTAGGACCCCAATGGAAATAAGTTAGACAGTCTTCGATGACACTGACTTTTTTGGGTTATCCTGGGTGGCAAATCCTCTGGGGTTAATTGTTTCTTGGTATTCTCAATAAGCCACACCAACAACGGTGCTACAGCAGCAGCAGCAGCTGACAGTGCAGCAGCAGCAGCAGCTGTACCACCAATAGTAGCGATGGTTGATTGGGGTTTATTATACAACCTGGCCAGCTCGGAGACATGCACTCCACTTTCATACTTATCAATGATCTTTTTCTTCATCTCTATTGTAATTCTCACCCTTATTGCTGTAGGGTTGGCACTAGAAGCTTTCTTGGGGCCCATGGTCACTTATTTTCCAGAAAAAGCACCGAAAACACTGTAATAATACGAAATATTCCGATTGTATGCTTGGATGTTACCGCGGAGGCTGGCTGGTAAACAATGCCACCGGCGGAACATGTGAGCGTGGCTCAGGCCGCGTCTCGGACGAAAATCGGTAAGCGGGTTTTTAAGCGGTATGCGAGGCAAAATTTTTGCGATTAAAGTAAGCGGTATGCGAAATAATCGCTATGTGATGCCATCGTTATGCGGGGGTCCACTGTATATATATTTTTTTTGTTTAATCAATTATAGCTCGGACTGTGGCTCACAACTCATAGCAAAACGACTGAGCGACAGCTTGTAACTCGGAAATCTCGTAAGTTGGGGCCCTCTTAAGTCGAGGTACCACTGTATTTGGCACAGTATTACTTTCCTTGCATAATTGCTCCAATTCTAAGAAGAAAATGTCCGTTTGCAGACGGCAAAATTGGTGCTAGACGAGTTCTTCAGTGGTGAAAGGAATTTAAACAACATTGCTCTGCTCCTTGGTACAGATGCAAGCAGGTTAGTATATTAATTAGGAAATTAAAATAAGAGAGAACAAGGTAGTGTAATTTATTTAATTTGTTTTGCTTAGCTTGTTTGCTTCTGCAAGTTGAATACCTCTTGTCTGTATAATGCCTTTCTTCTGCCATCTACCTGTTCCTTGGGATGGTTTTGTGAAGATTATTTGTGAAGAATATTCCTCATTCATATCAAGTGTATTTACAACCAGTACCAAAATTATTCATGTCATATTAATTTAAACTGCCAAACATCAAACCATGGGACAGGTGGTGGTTTGAGCCCATGACTAGAGAGTACTATAACTTCACAACAGTATGTAAACCACTCGGTCAGCTGGCTGAGTGGTTTACACACTGGCTTGGAGTTTTAGGACTCTTGCCATGTTTTCAAACTGCAATGTAATCTACTTCAAAATAACAATAATTTACAAAGGGTAACACATGCAGCTTGTAAAGTGCAGGCCAAGACGAGTCTGTGTCTTCAACAGGGAGAACAAGAGGCCAAAATTGCAAACTAAGAAAAAGGTGCTAAAAGGATGCTAGAAAATATTTCATAAATAGTGGTAGATTTCTGGAATGGGATCCATGAGGAGGTGGTATTGTATGTGCTATAACCACTGGAAACTACACAGTTAATACCAAAATACTAGAGATTAAATAATTTTAAGCTGACCTATGTATAGATTTGGTCAGCTTAAATTTATTGATATGCCACATAGTTCTTCCCTGTAACTGTAAGTAGGTTATTACAAAGCCACTAAGTTACTATTCACACAAGATCCACCCACATGTAATCACTAAAACCTAGCAGAGGGCAGATTTCTGATAGAAATGGTCTTCATATAGATAAACTAGTGTAGGTGGGAAGTGCAGTGCCAGGACTCTGAAGGATGGATGGGGATACGGCACTTTTGGAAGGACGGCTAATAAATAAAAGATGCTGGGAAATGGCCTGTGGTGGTGCAAAATGGCCTGTGATAAAAAAAAAAAAAAGGTTGTATAATGAATGTACTAAAAAAACAGGCATTCCTGAATTAGAACAAATTAATTCGAAAGTTAACACTACATATTTCGTAGCAAAACGAGGTTACCGGAAAACACACTTGCCATTACTTAATCCTCAAGCTGTCTAAGGAAACCTTATGGTTTCTAATTGTGGTGAAGGGTAGTGAAAATGTGGAAATAAAAATGCAGGCTTACCTTGCTAATATAAGTTAACAATACAGTGTTGTAACATTTTTTTATTTTTGTTTTCTTTTAGGCCTAGCGGTATTGTGCACTAATAAATGATAGTGCAAATGTTTTTACGCTTACATATGCACTGGCATGTGGAAAAAAGGCTGTGATTCGCTGTAAAGTGATATTAGCTTTACTGCGCTGAACTGGAACCTAACCTGCCATATAAGTGAGGCATTTGATAATGAGGAGACACTTGTTTAAATTTACTTTGGACACGTGGATCATTATTATATTGGGAAGTTCTAAATCTGTAGGGGGTCATGCAGTGTTTGGGACATAGGAGGTAATCAGGGTTTTATCTGAGGAATGGGATTCTACACTAACTGCAGTTCTGTAATCATGAGACCTTCACCAATATCAAGGCATCCCCTTGAAGAACTGGACATGCATGAAATGTCACTGGATGAGCTCGGCAAGTTAACTGTTCTATAAGAATGATTTGTTTGTTGGTTGCATTAATTCTCTTAAATCTGTAGCCCATAAATATGCTAAATTCTAAATTTTTGGTGTCATTTTATAGTGTGGTGTAACTGTTGGTGTTAGGCAATGTATTATCATTTGTGTTGGTCACAGCATTTCTTATAATTGTGAATTTTCTGGATTTGCAACATTTATTGATTGATAATTGGCTTCATAAAAAGCATTGCTGATAAAAAAAAATTCATAAAAACCAACTTTTTCAAGTCATTCTTTGCCTTTAAGCTTAGCAATGCATTTTCTAATTTCAACTCAGTGAACCAGTGGCTGACTCAACAACTACGACAAGTCAGGGCCGACAACCATCTCCAACTGTACAGACTCCCACCACTGATCTAGACCTAACTGGTGAAAGTTTCAAAGGGGGTGTCGTTACAGTCGTGCGCCAACCTCTCTTTCCATCTTCTTCAAAGTAAGGAGTGCTTAGCAACTAAGCCAAAATTCAGTTCTCGAAGAAAACATAAATGAGGATTGCTTTGAAAAGTATTTTAGAATATTTTTTTTATGTAGGGAACATTTTTTTTTTTTTTTTTTTAATCAGTCTGTTATTATATCTCTTATGATGGAAGCATGTTAATCTATAATTCGTGAACTATTATTGCAAAAAAATAACACAACTAACCAGATAACTTCTCCATGCTTGGGTACATTTAAAATTTTTCACTCTTGGAGTAAAACAGAATTTGAGTGGTCTGCATCATAGGCTGTTACTTTCTTTGTGAATTTCTTGTATAAATTGAAAATAATTTTAATGCATTTTTATATCTTTTTTAATAAACGGCATTGTATATCTTGCAGTTATGACAGTTCTTAGATTTGTTAATCAAATCTCGCTTAAAATGTTGGACATGCAAGTCCCCCAAACAAATATTACACAATTCCATGATATGTGATTATATAACACCTCTGTTTCTTTGTGAATAAAAAATAACTCTGATAAATTTAACAAGTATTGTGTATTACCTTTGTAAAAAAATAAGTCGTTCTATTGTCATGTGTTTAAGTTAGTACTGATGAATTTAAATTCGTATAATTGTATATTAGTATTTTGCTTTCAGTAGGTACAATGTGCACACACTTTATTAATCATTGTCACTGTTTTTTCAAAAGGGAGGCTATAGAATCTGCAGAGTCTAGCAGCCAGCCTGGTGATCAGAGCTCAAAGAATCGAAGAGCTCTCTTCCAGAAGACGAGTGAGGATCGTGCCAGTGAGTGTTAATATCTTCATTTACTTTTAATTGCTGTAATATATTTCTTTCAATAAACTGGCCATATCCCACCAAGGTAGGGTGGCCCAGAAAGAAAAAACAAAAGTTTCTCTCTTTAACTTGAATAATGTATACAGGAGAAGGGGTTATTAGCCCCCTTTCTCCTGTAATATATTTATGTATATACAGTGGACCCCAATTATGTAAGTGTATTTATGCAAGTGTTTGTATGTGTATGTTTGGGGGGTCTGAAATGGACTAGTCTAATTCACAATATTCCTTATGGGAACAAATTCGGTCAGTACTGGCACCTGAACATATTTCTGGAATGAAATAATATCGTAAACCGGGGGTCCACTGTAATTCTAATATGGCATGCGTGAGCGTGTTTGATAGGAGTGAATGGAGACAAATGGTTTTTAATACTTGACGTGCTGTTGGAGTGTGAGCAAAGTAACATTTATGAAGGGATTCAGGGAAACCAGCAGGCCGGACTTGAGTCCTGGAGATGGGAAGTACAGTGCCTGCACCCTGAAGGAGGGGTGTTAATGTTGCAGTTTAAAAACTGTAGTGTAAAGCACCCTTCTGGCAAGACAGTGATGGAGTGAATAATGGTGAAATTTTTTCTTTTTCGGGCCACCCGGCCTTGGTGGGAATCAGCCAGTGTGTTAATAAAAAAAAAATTCTAATATAAAATGCTGTACCAGTACACATTATTAGTAAACCCAGTTTATTAAAAATGAATAAATTATAATCACTACTGTATTCTATACAGGCATACCTTGTTAATATGGTGCTCACTTTAGAGAGCTGTCATTTGCCTTGCTCTTATGATGAATCTTGGCAATTTTCAAATATATTTTCTTATTTTTACTTTTGCATTTTTTTTTTATAGAGGCCTGGTGCTATTGTGCACTTAATAAATGATAGTGTAAACATGTTTTCAGGCTTTTATATTCACTGGCAGGTGAAAAGGCTGTGATTCGCTTTAAAGTAATGTTCACTTTACGGTGGTGGTCTGGAACTTAACCAGTCATATTAGTGAAGTATGCCTACATAAAATAGTTCTGTATTGTGATGAGTTGGAACTTTTTATTTCTTATATAAGGTGCTGTTGGAGTGTGAGCAGAGAAATATTTTGTGAAGGGATTCAGGGAAACTGGTTAGCCAGACTTGAGTCCTGGAGGTGGGAAGTACAATGCCTGCACTCCAAAGGAGGGGTTTGGGATATTGGCTGTTTGGAGTGGCATCTAAACTGTTGTATCTGAGTGCCTCTGCAAAGACAGTGATTGTGTGAATGATAGTGAAAGTGCTTCAGTTTTTTCGGGACACCCTGCCTCAGTGGGAGACGGTCAACGTGTTGAGAGAAAAAAAGAAGTAAATAAAACACTTGAGCAGAAGGAATACAGTATACTTCTTAGAAGAATATCCTACAGTACAATAGATGACTTGTTTTGTGGTTGTGGTTTTAGAGGGGGTCAGTGTACTTTAATGACGAGCACTGTTGGCATTGAGGTGAATCTTACTGTGACTCTAAACCTAATTATGCAAAGGTAAGGAAGGAAAGGATACACAGTATACCATGAATGCAGTCCCTTAATCAGAATATGTGCACCAATATAACTTGTGTGTCGCCAAATAAGAGTTTTAACAACTAATCGGATGTAATATTAGAAAAATGGATAGAAGCTGGATAGGCAGGTTGCAAAAGGATATATATAACATTTTTGTATTACATTAATCACAAAGTTCTGCTCTTGGTTATTCAGTTCAGTTGGATTGCCTCCTATGAGGATCAGGGTAGCCCTTGCAATTTTGAGTATGGATGGGAAAGTTGAAGATACCACAGATTTACTAAAGTTTCAATAATGGGGAACAGCACATGAGCTGCTTTTTTATACATGATTTGTGGCAAGTTATTTAGGTCTCCTGCCTTGTTTTTTAATGATATAATTATTAGCAAGACTTCAGTAGGATTTGTTGGTGCTATAAATATATATAGTTTGTATGTGGGTAATTACCAGTGAGGTAGTCTTGCGGCTGTGTACATATTTGCTTTTGGAATTTTGCTTGTTTAGATCCTATAGTAGAAAAGAAGACATTAAGTTTGTTTGTAGTGTCTGTAGGCCGTGGGGGGTTTATCAGGTTTCGATAAATTAATGTTTCTAGACAGTTTTCTAGAGCCTAAAATTTCAGAGTTTTCCAGGTCTTTATCATTTTTTTTTTTTTCCCCAACAAGTCGGCCGTCTCCCACCTTTTATTTCATTAAATCTGTTTACATAATACATTTGTTTGGACTTCCGTATTAGATTAGTAAATATTGAGGTGTATAGTTTAGTTCTTTTGTTATTAGGCCCTGTCTGAATTTTTTCATATATAGAAGATTTTTATAGATGAATTTAAGTATACTTTTTGTAAGCCAGAGGCTGTTTAGTCTGCTGAGATCTGCTTTGTTTTCATTGGATATTGTCTATTATAGAAGTTATGGGTTTTGTGTAAGAATATTTTGACACGTCAATATCGTAGCTGTCTGGTATCTCACCCAGCCAGTCAGTGTTACATAAGGCAGTAATAAAATTATTTACTGATGACTCGTCACGTAGTCGAAAAGAGATCTTGATTGTATCCTGAGGCAATCTACCTAAGTTGGTTATGAGAAAAGTTGGATGGTGGTCCATAGTGTTGTGTTGTCTGTGATTATGCCTGTTTTTAGTAGGGATATAGTATTGGTCCAGATATGATCAAGTAGTGAGGCACTTCTTTGTGATTCTTGTTGGTATAGTTATAGATGGTAGTAGCAAGCAGCAGCTCAGTGTTTGTGAAATCGGCTGCTTGGGGATCAGTTGCTTGAATGAGGTTTATATTAGTCACCAGCAAGTAGCAGGTGGTGTTTCTTAAGTTGTCACTAAATGTGTAAGTATTAGTGTGAGGTAGTCTGTAGACTGCTCCAACTGCTCTGGTGTTTTTTTAGGTTTTTGGATGTGAATTTTGCAAATGCAGTATATATTCACCATATTCATTTTAGTTCATTAGAGTAGTAGATAGCAATACCACCACGTGATTGATCAGACCTGTAGTTCTGTATGACTACGTAACCAGGTAAGACAAGGATGTCTGTTAAATCATGTTTGAGCCACGTTTCAGTGAGAATGATAAAGGATATGTTAACATTTAAATAATTAACCCTTTCAGGGTCTGTGCCATAGATCTACGGCTTTATGTTGAGGGTCCAAGCCATAGATCTACTCCATGAGCTCAGATCACTGATAAGCTGTGAGTGGTAAATTTGGGCCTAGATATGAGGGAATACATCTATGGTATGTGTGCACCACATAAAACAAATCCTGCAGCTCACAGTGCATAATGAGAGAAAAAAAAACTGAGACCGTAATTTTCGATTAAAGCAGCGAATTTGCAGTGTTTTTTCGTATGCTTTTTATGCTTGTATTTGCGATTTCTTGGTCTCATTTGATTTAATGGGAGATATTACAGAAATAGAGGTGATTTTGATTGGTTTTAGTACTGGAAATGGCTTGAAACCGAGCTCAAAGTAGAGGAAATGTTAAATTTTTGCCGATGTTCAAGAGTAAGCAAATGACTTCACACATCTAATACACGCCAGCTGGTGGGTCTAATATACATTCACAAATGTGGTGATGTTATTTATACAATTATTACAATATTACATAACAGTAAATCTTCTATTTTTTTGGTTTGAATAAAAATTCATTATGTGAATAAAAAATCAAAATGGATTTCATTTGGGAGTCAAAGTCGGCAAAATCGCCGCTGTGTAAATATTGCTGACACATCAAAATTTCCGAGAGCATAATTTCGTCAGTTTTCCATCAAATTTTGTACTTTGTTTTATTACTTTCAGAAAAAGATTCTGTACCATTTCATAAGAAAGAATAAAAAAATTTTTTTTTGAAAATTCTTTGATACTGGTGCACACTTTGAAATTTGGCCTCTGGACCCTGAAAGGGTTAAGAAGTGCAAGGAGGTCATCATAGTGTTTACTCAATGATCTGATATTGTAATTGAATACTATTATGTTCTTGTTGGCACTGAGTACAGCTTTTGCCTGTACTTTTCATGTGCATTCAGGTAAAGTTCACTATGTGGAACATTGAATAGTTACAGGGCTGGGTTAATAGTATTTGTATTGATTGTCTTGTATGTATGAGTAGGACTGTTAGTCTGAGGGTACTCCAAATTGTGCTATCAACTCGCTTTTGGAAAGACATCACTGGAATGAATGATGATGAATGTGTTTTCTTTGAGTCAACCTTGCCTTTTTTGTGTTTTTGAATTTTAAGTTGCTGTGAAGGTGTAGACTGAAGTATTCCCACATCTTGCATTCTTTTGTAGATTTGAGTTAGTAGAATCATGTCTATATGTGAGTTTACACTGTTTAAAATTTTTGTCAGTTGAGTCTTTATTTAAAGAAAATTGCTTGTTACTCGTAAGGGTTAAATTAGGTTTAGCTATAAACTAAAACTTTGTTTACAATGTAGATTTCTAGATTGTAGTGTTTCTTCTTTACCTGATGGTTGGTCTAGGGCACTGCCTCTTGGGCCCACTCTAGCACTATAATTAACTGATCAATGAAATGAAACTTTTATGCTAGGCATTACTTGTTTTTGTTATACAGTGGAACCTCGGTTTTTGTATGCCCTAGTCTGTATGTAAAACTATAGTTATTCTCTATAAAATGTATGTATTGTTAATATTTTTGGGTGTCTGGAATGGATTAATTGGATTTACATTATTTCTTATGGGGAATATTAACAAAAAATAGATTTTATAAAGAATAACTATAGTTTTATATACAGACTAGGGCATACGAAAACCAAGGTTCCACTGTATTACAAAAAGATCTAAAACCATGTACAAATGCATACAAATTTTTCTTTATGTAGTATAAAAAGTAAATTTTTTTTTTATTATTTTATTAGTACATCGGCCAATTCCCACCAAGGCAGGGTGGCCCGAAAAAGAAAAACTTTCATCATTATTCACTTCATCACTGTCTTGCCAGAGGGGTACTTAACACTACAGTTTATAAAACTGCAACATTAACACTCCTCCTTCAGAGTGCAGACACTGTACTTCCCATCTCCAGGATTCGAGTCCTGGAGATGGGAAGAGACAAAAGAAAGCTTATAGTATGCAATGCATTTTGGGCAGACTAATCCAAATGCTTAAAGACTACTTAAGAATTAGATATGGTTTATACAGACCTGCATTGCCATTTGTCATGTTTCAGATATTTACATCTATTGTACTGATCATACATGATGCTATTTTTGCAAGTGTAACCTCTGGAATAGATTATCTGCAAGCTGTTCAATGTTTTGTGTGATTTTGAATGTCAGACCTTAATTTATCAGCACCTTTAATTAACCTCAATGTTATTAATAGTGTTTGATTTTCTTTTTAACTAACACCCACTTAGTTGATTGTAATGTAGTTTTCCCATGTGTATTATTGTATATAAATAACCTGGAGTGGAGGGACATGTCAAGGCCCCATTAAATGAAACCCTGGGGTAGCAAAAGAAAAGTTTGCGTAGTTGCGTTAACAATTAGCATAAAGCTGCATGCTTCACATTATTTTGATGCGAAGTGAAAAGCCAGCTCGATAATGTTCGTGAAATTTGTTTGGAACACATGTTCCTTCATTGTTTATCTTGTCGTATATGATGAGCTATATCGACGAGTTTTAAAATTTTCTAACTTGGATATATGTACGTAAGAAATGTTAGAGATTATTTGTTTAGAATTACCATAAAGAGATTAATTACGATTTAAGTACAATTAGCCATTCATATTATCAGGTTGATGTGGTAATTTTCACATTTTTTAAATGAAATTCTAAAATTAATTATCATGCTGCATTTCATTTTTAATTTCATAATACAAGTGAGATGACACTAAAACTTAATATCAAAAATTTATTAGCTAGAAAAAATTTTTCCTTGTTTTAGAAATGAAAATGAGAAAAATAAGAATCTGTTATAATTCACAAAGATTTTGAAAAATTGACTTGGGGGGAAATAGTTGAAACCTGATTCATAATACTTGCTCTCTTGTTGCAAGTTATTGCAGCTCGTGATACAACAACTGTTTACCTTTTAATAAATGACAGAATATACAAACTTAGCATGGACTGGGCCAGTTCAGTAACTATAGCTGATGACGACCGTGGCTCTTCCTCAGATGGGGACGATGCGGGGCCCTCCACTCCTGGTACCACTAGTCCCATGCTCGAGGCTGTGGTGGACCCTCTTCCTGCTGTTCCTGCTCGCCGCTGCTACACTCGAGCCTTCCTTGTCCAATGTGCTTCTTCTCCCTTAAGTCGCCTCACCCCTGACAACTGGTCCCAAGTGGTGAAACAGACACCTATAGTATTCAAGAAGGTGCAGTGCTGCTAGCTTCATACCAACTAATCCTAATCTTACTAATCAACTTACTTTAGTTGTATTAAAAGTTCAGTACTGTACTAGCTCTTCCAGTGACTTTTAAGACTTAAGTTTTCATTAGTAAAGAGTATTAGTCAAAACAACACAGATTAGCAGTGCAGAAAATTTTTTAGTTGAAGGATGATATAAACTGTGCAGAAGATTCCTGCATTGTTAAAAATATTTGTGACCTGACATAGGGTGTTTCATTTTGTATTTAGTTTTGTTTGTTAGGTTTTTGTAATACTGTATTGCAGCGTTATTTGAATCGTGATAAAGCAATAATTTTCTTTCTGTAAATGTTTCTAGTATTTTATGATGGTAAAAAAGTATTAGCAAAATATTCTTTCATATTATTCATCAGTGATTTTTAAGTGGTACATCCAGTCATATTCATAAACTCATGACTCAAATTTGCAATTTGATATTTAAGCGTAATATTGAATGACCCTTTTGGGTTTAGTAGTCTTATGAGTACAGAGCATATTTCATCAACATTTCGGTTATGGCCATTTTACAATAGTTCTTATTGAATCTTACATTCCATCTCTGTGGGACACTTGCAACTTAGTTGCATTCAGTTGCAGACAAAACTAAAGTTTTGTTCATTGTCAACTTTATTTTCTAACTTGTATCTTAAACTTTAGAGCTTCATCAATATTTTGATTATAACTTTCACTTTTAACTTTTCTTAGAAATCTTATATTTCTGTGACTGCAAAGTGCCTTTAAAATATTGGGAATTCTCATGTTCAGAAATTGGTCGTTTTTCTCTTTGTTTCAACTGTCTTTTGTCCTTATTTTGAGTTATAACAGCAGATTTGTGAAAGTGTGCTTTCTCCCCAAATATCTTTTGATGTTTCATTACCTCATGTTTTCATTTTGAATTATTCAACTGCAATGTTGTACAGGTACAATGCCAATTTTCCAGCATCCTTAGTTCCTAAGCCTTGCTGAAATGTCTATTTTGTCAGACCAATAGAAGTCACGTAATAATAATTCAACAATGCATGTCTGACCCACTAATTATACACCTCCCACGTCTCTAAAGCATCATGAACTGACTTCAACAATCTTCAATTAAACATTAGAGTAAATTGCTGTATGTACTTACAAAGAATGTTTGCAGTATTACTGCTCCCAAAGTGACAAATTCCAGTTTTACTGGATCTGTAGAACTATACTTTGCTAGATTGAATTCTGGAAAAATTAAATGGAAAAAGTTCATGATGCTAAAAAAATATAGGAATGTAAATTATAGTTTAAAATTCAGTGATTCTTTGTTTTTTAATTAAAGGGAGCAAAAGGGAAAGAGGAGGGTGTTAATGATATTTCCAGTTCCACTTTATGGTATTGTTTTTCTATATTTATCAGAATTAATAGAATGTGTAATTTTAGTTTTATACCAAAATGAGATTCAAATGGAGAGGGTACATGTTATCAGGTCTTGAGTTGCTAACCTAGTAGATGGCTGGCCATTGTATACTAGTGTGTATTAGTTCCTCTTTCTCCATTTTTAATGACTAATTTTGTACTGTTTAAAGAATAATAGAGTACAGTACCCTGCATTAAAGAAACATTTTTGTGTAACAGTTGTGTTCACACACAGATGTGTGTTAGTAATCATGCTTGTCATAAGTGTAGGATGGAGAGCATAGCTGTTCTTTCTCCTTCCTTCTCCCTCTTTTCTCTCTTCCCCTATCACCTATATAGTTAGTCTTCTAAATTAACAGATTGTTCCTAGGATCCTGCAAATCTAAGCTAAGTTGGTATAGTGATACACAAATAACCTGCACTTAGGAGAGACAGAAGCTTATGACAGTGTTTTGGATCTGTCTTGGATCATTCACAAGTCACACTGGTGACTCTGTAAATGATCCAAGGTGGACTGAAATGTCACCATAAGCTTCTGTCTCTCCTGTGTGTGGGTTATTTGTGTATTGTTCCAGTCATGGTATTGTGCCTTTTTGGAGACGGTGGGAGATGGCCGACTTGTTGAGAGAAAAAAAAAAAAAAGCAATAAAAATTCTTTGTTTGGGAGGTAACCTGTACAATATCAGGGGCTGATGACAAAAGCGAATCATAATTAAAAAGGCTGTCTAAAACATTCATCTTATAAAAGATGGCCACTGAAATAAGAAATAATTAGCCAATAGATTAAGATTAAAATATTTTTAAGGAAAATAAATTTCTTAGTTAATAATTTTATTTGAATTAGTTTCTTGTATTAATTACATAAAAAATTGTCTAAATACTTAAACAAGCAGTTAATCTTGGTATACAGACTGGTAAATAGGAATGATAATCACAATTGTGCATTAAAGAAGGCCAATTAAGAGTTCTTTTGCTTAAAGTATCATTGAACATCAGGTTAAGTGCTATGCAAATGCACGTACAGTGGAACCTCGACTTGCGAGTTTAATCAGTTCCGTGACCTAATTCGTAACTCAATTTGCTCGTATATCAAATCAATTTTCCTAGTTTAAATTAATTGAAATGCCACTAATCCATTCTAGTGGAATTCCTGCTCTCGGGAGGCAAGACAGAATACTTCAGTATGACGCTAATATCAACTCTACAGCTTATTTATCTATCACAGTTCATCTGTTTCGCTCCATTCTCTCTACATGTCCGAACCACCTCAACAAGAAGGGTTGTTGAGGTGGTTCGGACATGTAGAGAGAATGGAGCGAAACAAAGTGACTTCAAGAGTGTATCAGTCTGTAGTGGAAGGAAGGCGGGGTAGGGGTCGACCTAGGAAAGGTTGGAGGGAGGGGGTAAAGGAGGTTTTGTGTGCGAGGGGCTTGGACTTCCAGCAGGCATGCGTGAGCGGGTTTGAGAGTGAATGGAGACAAATGGTTTTTAATACTTGACGTGCTGTTGGAGTGTGAGCAAAGTAACATTTATGAAGGGGTTCAGGGAAACCGGCAGGCCGGACTTGAGTCCTGGAGATGGGAAGTACAGTGCCTGCACTCTGAAGGAGGGGTGTTAATGTTGCAGTTTAAAAACTGTAGTGTAAAGCACCCTTCTGGCAAGACAGTGATGGAGTGAATGATGGTGAAAGTTTTTCTTTTTCGGGCCACCCTGCCTTGGTGGGAATCGGCCAGTGTGATAATAAAAAAAAAAATTATAGTTCATCTAATATGACATAATAAACAACATAAATAACATAGAAACAATATATACTCTAGATTGAATAAAATGTCATGTGAGGGGCAGTGGCGGCCATTGCCGCTCCCGCACTGACCATGCTTCCCCTTCAGAGGTCTAATTATAAGAGAAAATGTAGTTTGTGAGGCTAACTGCACTAGATCACTAGTTTCATAAGGAAAACACTGAAACAATGCATTTATAAATAAGAAACATTGTATAAAGACATAATAGAGATGTAAAGAAATCAACTAGTTATGTGTATAAATTGTACATACACACTTACCTGGGAGCAGAAATGCTCCCTTGCTTGTTTATCTACGATTTCATGCTGTAATTCCATGGACATCATCCTCTTTTTCTTCTTAGCACTGTCCTTTGCACTTTCTTAGGACCCATGGTTAGAAAAAAGAAATATGGCAATAATATGAGAAATGTTTCCACAGCACCGTGTCTTCATTTGCAGATGACACCTGAATCTGCATGACAGTGTCTTCCATTGCAGACACTGCAAGGCTCCAGGCGGACATCAACCAAATCTTTCAGTGGGCTGCAGAAAACAATATGAAGTTAAACGATGAGAAATTTCAATTACTCAGATATGGTAAACACGAGGAAATTAAATCTTCATCAGAGTACAAAACAAATTCTGGCCACAAAATAGAGCGAAACACCAACGTCGAAGACATGGGAGTGATCATGTCGGAGGATCTCGCCTTCAAGGACCATAACATTGTATCAATCGCATCTGCTAGAAAAATGACAGGATGGATAATGAGAACCTTCAAAACTAGGGAGGCCAAGCCCATGATGACACTCTTCAGGTCACTTGTTCTATCTAGGCTGGAATATTGCTGCACACTAACAGCACCTTTCAAGGCAGGTGAAATTGCTGACCTAGAAAATGTACAGAGAACCTTCACGGCGCTCATAACGGAGATAAAACGCCTCAATTACTGGGAGCGCTTGAGGTTCCTGAACCTGTATTCCCTGGAACGCAGGCAGGAGAGATACATGATTATATACACCTGGAAAATCCTAGAGGGACTAGTACAGAACTTGCACACGAAAATCACTCACTACGAAAGCAAAAGACTTGGCAGACGATGCAACATCCCCCCAATGAAAAGCAGGGGTGTCACTAGCACGTTAAGAGACCATACAATAAGTGTCAGGGGCCTGAGACTGTTCAACTGCCTCCCAGCATACATAAGGGGGATTACCAACAGACCCCTGGCAGTCTTCAAGCTGGCACTGGACAAGCACCTAAAGTCGGTTCCTGACCAGCCGGGCTGTGGCTCGTACGTTGGTTTGCGTCCAGCCAGCAGCAACAGCCTGGTTGATCAGGCTCTGATCCACCAGGAGGCCTGGTCACAGACTGGGCCGCGGGGGCGTTGACCCCCGGAACTCTCTCCAGGTAAACAACATAAACACACGCACATCTCAGCTGATGATGTGGTGTTCGCTGTGCCACCTAGTGGCGATTTTCTGAAACTCGCTTATTATTATTATTATTATTATTATTGTTATTGTTATTATAAATAATTTAGGGAACTGGAGCACAGATCAAATTCCTTAGATCAAGAGCCCCTCGCCAGCATCAAGGTTCCTTGACTGGTGAGGGGCTCTTGATCTAGGGAATTGGATCTGTGCTCCAGTTCCCTAAATTAATAATAATAATAATAATTAATGAGGACCTTCATAACACCGCCAACTCAGTGCACGTTTACCTCGCTGTGGAAGCATTTCTCTCGTGTTTGCTTGCATTTTGTGCAATTATTTTGCCAATTTTTTTTTCTAGCCATGGGT